TCACCCTGTCTTTGTATACTTTCCATTTACTATTTAATTACTTATGGATTTTACCTTTGTGATACTGAAGCTCCTTCTCATCCAGCAGAGCCAAAAGGACCCTACGGCTGTAAGAAGCCTCATCCCCCTCCCGTTGGGTGCTCCTTGCCTTGCCCTCTAACCCAGCTCTACCTGCCAGCTCACAGGGGCAAGGTGGCTTTTTCCTGGCTTTTTGGCTTTCCTCTCGCTTCCCCTCATCAACTCCTTTGCCAAGCTGTGTAATTTTACTGCCTGGCTCAAGGAGCCAAGAACTACGTGTGCTGCTGTAAGCTGTGCGTTAGACGTCGTCAAAAACATGCAGCTTCAGGGCTTTAGGAGCCAGCTCCAGCCAAACACCCACCGAGCAGCGAGGCCACAGCTCACACTCTCTCCGGTTTCACTCATGGATGCTGGAACTCAGCTCTCTCCGGTGGCTGAGCAGGGATGGACCCACGGACACAGGGATGTAATGTCTCATAGGTGGTGTGGTGGGAAAGGGTCCTACACCACTGACCTGCAGGTAGGGGAAGGGACTTGCACTTTCATCCTCCCTCCCCCTTAAAACCACAAGCTCCTTAGGGCATGGGCAGGCTCTGGCTTGATGCTTCTACAGAACCAAGAATAACACGGTCCAGACCTCACCTGTGGTCTGCAAGACCCTCCAAGACCTCTTCTTCCCCCTCCAGATATAACAACCACATCTTGGACTCGATTCCCTCCTGCACATTGGGGTGCTTCAGAGCTACATGTACAGTCTTGAGGCTCAGACCCCAACTCCACCACAAACTCAGCCAACTGGCACCATCAGGCTCAAAAGAATCATTCATCAATGTGACTTGTAAAACACTGGCCACTGAGACCACCTATAGCTGGATTTCTATCCCAGTAAGTGAACATCACGTTCAACAGCCACTATCAAGAGACAGGCAGTGAAAACAACCCCATCCTTAAAATTAGAGAAGGTGTCCAAAACTCCAACCCCAGCACTGGAAGTTTAAGCATAAGGAGGGGACAGAAACATCCAGCTCCAGCCATGAGCATCTGCAAAACACAGTCGCTCCTCTACGTAGTAGTACAAAGTGTGCCTGTACTCCAGGAAGGATGACAATAAGTGGTAGCAAAAAGCTTTAGCAAACTCTCAAAACCTCTAAGGACTCTCAGTTATCCATGAGCAAAGGGCAAACTCCACCTCAGGCTTATTGGGAGGCTTCTGTGGCTCCGAGTGGCCACTTCTCACCAGCCTGGTTTTACGGGGCTGGAGTGCAGAGCGGAGCAGGGAAGGAGCCGGGTTACAAGTCTCCCCTCCAGCTTTATTCCTGGCAGAGAATTCCTTTGCAGCAGTGTTGCTCAGCACGTCAAGTCTGGCACCTGCTTACAATAAATCCCTAACAATGCTGAAAAGTTAAACGTCCATTTAGGTTAATTTCTGGGTTAGATTTGGATTTCGACATACTGTTAATGCTAGAAAGAATGTTTCTGTGAAACAATGCTGTGTATTTGCCTTGGAGATCCTCTATAATTGGCTGCCCTTCATCTCAGATTTCTTTCTAAATGCCAAAGGATGCTCTCAGCACAGACAGTCTAAAGGGGAGGCTTTGCCACCATCATCTGCTAATGCTTTGATGCCAGCTGAGATCTTTAGAGCAGGCTCCCTTGCAGGTGGGATGGGTCGATGCACTACTTTGGGACTGAGAAACCCAAAGCAGCGCAAGAAAGATGTCTTATGGTGTGATGTCAACCTGTGCAGATGGGAGTTTGGGAGGCTTCGCTTTCAGGACATGTGTGATGGGGCTGATAGAGCCTGGCTGTGAAATCTTGAATGACATTTTCTCTCCACTCACCTTTGATCCTGGTAAACGTGTTCTGGGCACTGCAATGTGATTGAGAATCTCTCTGTGTGCAGATGTCCTGCAAAAACTACACCCACAGCTGTAAATCACAAAGCCCTCCCCAATCTGGTGGTTAGTGACAATAAATAATGATTTTGCTAATGGGAACTGGCCAGTGTTCAACCCACTCCTTGATTATGTGTGTTGCTTTTTCTATAAGCAAAGACTATTTGTATTGAGAGACTTGCAATAAGTAAAACTCTCTGATGTATTCAAGATCAAAACTGGGGCTGTTCAGCCTGGAGAAGAGAAAGCTGTGCTGAGACCTCAGAGCAGCTTCCAGTGTCTGAAGAGGGCCTACAAGAATGCTGGACAGGAACTCTTCATCAGGGACTGTAGTGATAGGACAAGGGGTGATGGGTTCAAACTGAAACAGGGGAGATTTAATTAGGTATAAAGAATCTCTTCCCTGTGAGGGTGCTGAGGCGCTGGCACAGGGTGCCCAGAGAAGCTGTGGCTGCCCCATCCCTGGCAGTGTTCAAGGCCAGGTTGGACACAGGGGCTTGGAGCAACCTGCTCTAGTGGAAGGTGTCCCGGCCCGTAGCAGGGGTTGGAGCTGGAGGAGCTTTAAGGTCCCTTCAACCCAAATCGTTCTATGATAAAAAGCAGCCAAAGGGGAAGATTCCTGGAAGCTCCAGCTACAGGAACTTGTATCAGAGCAGGCAGACTCCAAACTTAGATGACAGCAGCAGCAGTGCACATGAAGCACCAAACGGATGGGGTATCCCAGCTCCACGGGTTCCCTGCTTTGGGCCTGGTGAGGACATGGGTGGGTTGGGTAAGAACAGGAAGGGGGTGGTGCAGGGATGCACCTACACAGTGCATGTTTCAGTCATCATATCCCAGATTTCCTGTGCAGGAGGCGGCCCGGGATGGTCTGGCACACTGGGACCAGCACATTCTCCCTACAGCACAACCAGCACAACCCAGTGGGAAACTGCCATCCATCCTCCCTCTCCTGCAGGCTGCCAAGCCCCTCCTCTCTGACGTTTCCAAGCTCACTAAGCCTTTTTCCTTACAGCCATGAACTAGGCAAGAAGAATAAGTTCACACTTGAAAAAAACCCCACTTTTTCCTTTAAAGCACCACTCTTTTGGGTTCCTGACAAAGCAATATTCTCCACGCCAGTTGGAATCTGGAAAAACACACTTACTCAACCTAGCCACCATGACTCCAATAACAATTATAAAATGTCCAATAAAACTTGCATGTAATGTCAATTCAAATCTTGAAAAGCAGAATTAAGTGGTATATCAACATTAAACTTTATTGCTTCCTTTGCAGAGCAGGAGTATTGTCAATAAAAGTCATTCTGAATGAAGAAAAGGGCAGTAAATATTAAATAAACAGGTTTTTGTTGAAATGCTATAAATGCACCAGAGCTGCATTTTACACTGGGACCCTTTTCTCCTTTGCAGACTCCCCTCATGATAGAAATAAGTCAGTAATTGCAAACTATCAATAAAGCACCAGTTAAAGGGTGGTTAGATGCATGCATTTACAATATGTCATTATGAGCCTTTATTGGATGTAGTTGGGCTTTTCTCAGATCCCACTGGCTCCGTCTGAAGTCCCCCAGCACACAAACACTCCTGCTGCTCATTAGGGACCCTCAGAGGAGCCGGGTGGGAGCTGGAGGTGAGGATGTCTTCATTACGAGGGTGCTGAGGCGCTGGCTCAGGGTGCCCAGAGAAGCTGTGGCTGCCCCATCCCTGGCAGTGCTCAAGGCCAGGTTGGACACAGGGGCTTGGAGCAACCTGCTCTAGTGGAAGGTGTCCCTGCCCGGGGCAGGGGTTGGAGCTGGAGGAGCTTTAAGGGCTCTTCCAACACAAACCATTCCCTGATTCTGTGATACTCTGTCCTGCCCCGAAACCCAGCAGCCCTGCCAAAGCCTGGAATTTGGTAATGTGGTTTTGCTTTCTGATAGGCCACTCGCCGTGTTCTGCTCCTTTCTGGGTCCCCTCACCCTAGAAAGAGCCACTGCCACCCTCCCTACACACAGAAGTATTTCTACTCACACTTCCTGCTTGCTAATCCGATCCCCACCACACCTCAACATCCGCCTGCCTCTGCAACAAGCAGATGACAGAGATGGGATGTTTTGCTTTGTCAATGGGACAAAAAAGCAGGGGTTTTAGGGCTGGGCTGAAGATAACCCTCCAGTGACACTCAAAACCTCAGTGATGCCTGTCACAAACACAACCGGCACCACATGGCGCAATGCCCTGAGACCTCTTTAGGTCAGACCTCTTCTGCTCCACTGCCAGGACCTCCAGTTGCCTGAGAAAATCCATCCCAACAAACCAAACCCACTGCCAAAAGTTGAGCAGAGGCACAAACTGTATGTCCAGTGGTACCTGCACACAACAGGACGTGTTTTGGAAGCAGAAGGAGCGGGCATCCCTGCGAGGTATACACACAAGAGCTTCTGGCCTCTAACTTGCACAGATTTATTTATTTCATATACCAAACCCACCCAAAACCCCAAAAGCAACTGGAATATAAATGCCATTAATTTTTGGAGAAATTTCTTTCACTACGACCCCTGGCTCAGTAAATCTGGTGGTTGTAAAAAACAGCTCAAACATCTTCAGAGATAAAGAACAGCGCTGGAATGTTAAATATATACATAAAAAAATCCCTTCAAAGGGTGAATGATATCTATAAAAATCAGCTTTTGGAGAGATTGCAAGTATTCATCCCAGCCATCCTGGGCTGATATTTCTCTGCCATCCATATGAGTAGAAACCAAACCAGCAGCTGAACCTGCAGCAACACACTAAGAGCAGCCGCACCAGTGCAAACCACCCGAGAGCCAACAGCTCAGAGCTGTGAATCATCCTGATTCACTTCAGCCTGAACCCTTGACCTGCCAACTGAGTCAGTTCCTCTGGATGCTGCGCCAGGAACCCCACATGTGCCCACATCCTCACGTGAGGACATTGTCTGGACCTCGGCCACCCAGGTCCCAGCCCACCCCACAGCCAGGCAGGACGCGCAGGCAGCAGGGGAGATGTTACGCGCTTCCAACACCCTCTGCTCTGTCCTGGGTGAAGATGTGACCCTTTGGAAGCCAACCCACAAGCATCTCACCTGGAAAAGCACCTGCAGGAGGCCATGCACAACGCACATCCGCCGCCCCAGGAGCAGGAAGAATGGCACCACCAGCTCGATGAAGTGATTGACCAGGGTCTCGAAGCGATGAAACCACCACGGTGAGCGATGCATGAAGTAGGCGATGGGGTTGGGCACTGGCTGCGTCTGAAAGATAGAGGGGAAAAGAATCAATCCCCCTCCACGGCTCATCACGGAGGGAGCTACAGAGCTCTTGGCCTTTTTCCTTATTTCCTTCCCCACATTTATTCACAGAAGAATCATCCTTTGCCTCTGGGCACTCATTTCTCTTTCGACAAAATTACTTACTTAATTTCTTTTCATGCAAACCCAAAGAACTTTTAAACCAAAAGATCTCTTAAAAACCAAGAGTTCCAATTCTCTCTTTCTCCACAACCGAACCCCACTTATATTAAATTAAACCACTGTTTAATACTGAAACGTTACACGTAGCTCGACCCCGACGGATGTTCAGTTGCTCTGCATGGGCGCTGCAGAGCATCAGAGCAGTTAAGCAGATACAGAAACCGAGCGAAAGACTTTCTCAGGGTCACACAGTAGGTCAGAGAGAGGCAGGAATGGAAACCAGATTTCCAAACCTAGGAGATATCCTTTCAAAATGTTTGAATTTGAAATAGATGCAGTGGTGGAGTTGCTTTCCAAGCTTGTAATTAGGGAGAGGGAAGCGTAATTCCTCTAAACATGCTATACTGGTTAAGGTATTTACATACTGGCCTTGTGACAATATTATTCTTCTATCAGCCAGACATTTTTTGACACTGGGAGATCTTCCCTCCAGGATAATAAAGCTGCAAACATCACAAAGGAAATAAACCTAAACCCTGATACGACAATAACTGCTCCCCCCCCACAAAGAAATGCTGCCACTTGAGCAAAAAGAAGTTAATTTAAATTTATCTTTGCATATCTGAGAAGCTCAAATCCATTAGAATTGATTTAAAGCTGTGACAAGAGAAAAGAAAAAAGAGGATGGAGACACAACTTTTAATTGAAGGAGACACAACACATCTTTAAATTATTTGTAGTTAAATCAAAAATACAAACAAAACAGGGGAAATACTGTACTATGCATGGCAACGGAGCGTGCTTCCACTGCCAAATCCCACAACTATTGTAATTCCTTATTAGCAAAGCTGGGATTAATAAAGTTGTTGCTTTATATGGGTTTGAGGCTGCTGTAACCCCTTAGGACAGGAGACCGCATCCTTCCTTCCTCGGACAGCGGCGCCGGATGGAGCGGTGTCGGGGTCACGGAGCTCTGCCAAGTCCACTCCAGCAAGGGGGTGGGAGGTCAGGGCAGACCCCCGGGTGCCACCGAGGGTCCCTCCCCTTCACATGGGACCTGTTTTGAGTTAATGTGCTTGTTGGACTGCCCTGAGCATTCCCAGAACATCAGGGAGGCGCACAAGGAGGCTTTTTTTTTACCTTGATCCCAAATTGCTGAGAAATGCTTTTATCCTTCCAAAAAGGCAGGTTGCTTCCTTGGCTTCTGCTGTTCCAATTTTTAAGGAAAACTGACCTAGATGAGGGACCAGGCCTACAGGTTGTAACATTTAGCCTGAGATGAGCTGGTTTCCAGCCTGTAACTGCCTGATCCTAACACGTTGGAGCTG